GGGGCCCTTCAGGTGAGGGCACCTTCAGGTGAGGGGGCCCTTCAGGTGAGGGCCTCAAACTGCCGTCCAGGGCTGCACAAATTAACCAAACACTATTATTAATATCACAAGAAGCTGCATTAAAGGTAAAAGCCCAGCAATTATAATGAAGGACTGGCAGGGTGACAGACAGTCAGACAGACAGACAGACAGAGAGCAGAGACAGCGAGAGACAGTCAGACAGTCAGTCAGACAGACAGTCAGACAGTCAGACAGTCAGTCAAGACAGACCAGACAGTCAGACCAGACAGACAGTCAGACAGTCAGACCAGACAGTCAGACAAGTCAGACCAGACAGTCAGACCAGAACAGACAGTCCCAGTCAGACCAGACAGACAGTCAGACAGTCAGACCAGAACAGACAGTCAGACCAGTCAGACAGTCAGTCAGACAGACAAGACAGTCAGACAGACAGACAGACAGTCAACAGACAGTCAGACAGTCGACAGTCCAGTCAGACAGACAGACCAGTCGACCAGAACAGACAGACAGTCAGACCAGACAGTCAGACAGTCAGACAGACAGTCAGACAGACCAGACAGTCAGTCAAGACAGACAACGTCAGATAGTCCAGACAGACAGCACAGCCCCCTCAGACAGACAGACAGCAGCACAGACAGTCCGACAGACAGACAGACAGTCCAGACATTGATTTATGTCAGTCGAGCTGAAGGGCCCCCTCACCTGAAGAAAGAACTGACCTGGAAACAGCTCTTACTTACCTAATTCAGATATTTCATGGGAGTCTGCAAACCGCCCTGAAACAGAGGAGAGACATCAGCAGAGTCACTGGGTGTTACAGGGGAATGAAACTGCTCTCTGGTCTGCAGTCAGCTGTCTGTGTGAGCCTCATTACTGCGAGTGGACACCTGCTGCCACTGACCTGCGATCAGGTAGGAGAGAGTCCGCACCGTGCTCTCCAGCTGTGCAGTAGCAGCTGGATTCCTCCTCACGTAGTCTCTGTAGCGCTCATAGAGCCGCCCCCCTTTATCCAAGAGCTCCTTAAACTGAGACATGTCTGCTGCGCAGCAGCATACGCCCCCTTCCTGCTGTACCCGCTCTGTACCCGCTATAAGGAGGACTTTGTTAGTTTCGGACACATCGGAACTCTTCAACTAAACAAACATCCGCGTCCGTCCCTCATATGCGTCCCCCCCTCCCGCCGCCGCACATTGGTTCCTGGCGTTAGCACTTAGCGCACGGCTCCTTCCGGGACACGTTATTGTTGCATCAGCATCCAACCCTGCAGCTGTGTGGCGATGTCGACCTCAGGAGAGACAGGTACACTTCATAATGCTTGTATTCACCTTCACACTTTGTTACAGTAGGGCGGGAAAGTCAGGGGAATGAACGTGGAGCGGTGCGGAGCTTTGCACGAGCCGCTTACCTTTAAAGGTAACCGGTGAGTTTATGAACCGAACTCCATTTAAAAATCAGTGGATTTAATCTGATAGATATTGGAGCGGAATGTGTCTGCAGAGACACACAGGTGAACAAATACGATTCAACAGCTGTTCTGAATTTAAAGGAGACACTCTTTAGTGTTCACACATACTCCATAAACAGCGATTGTGTTCAGAAAAGGATCATTTTAAGTGTTAAAATAGGTTCAGGATATGAATGGTGTTTGGTTTGGCGTGTTTCTGTTAGAGAAAACATGTGTGGCACTGTGCTGTGTTACTCTGATACAATAAACATGTTGAACAGCAGTCTGACAGCTCTCATCAAGTATTATGAGAATAAAATGCAACAGAGAATAACTAAATAAAACGTGCGCGAATAAATAACATTATGAACCGAAATAAATGAACATTAGTGAACAGCTGAAATAAATGAACATTAGTGAACTTGCAGCTCAGGTTGTCTTTATCTTTAAGGTTCACATCTGGACACATGTTATTTTACATTTTTACATGCTGTCTCACTGGATATATTTCCAGGGAACATTAAAAAACTATCGAGGCTGTGATTTGTTTTATGTAATGTTAGTTTTTGATGAATGACATACATTTAATTATATAAATTATATAAATATATGTTTGTTTTTACTTTCAGTTTTGCTCAGTTGCATCATCCACTCATGTCTTCGTTATACATTTTATTTAAAGTTTGAGTGACAAAGGTCCTGACACCCTCTGGGAATTGCTTTTATTATTGTTGTTTTGTTGCTGTTGTTTTTATAAGAAACTTCATTTTTGCATCCATTTTAAATTGTTGCGTCATCTAGTTTGATCCATTAAGTTTCTATTTGATTCACTTTCTTTTAAGGAAGCATGACGTTGGACTTTTGCCAATATTTCCCCACCCAACATATTTTTTCCACCTAATTGCAGAGAACATAAAGTCTCTCCTGTAGTGGAATTAACACATTATTACATCTATACTATATACTGCATATATACTATATATATACTATATATATACTGTATATATACTGTATATATACTGTATATATACTGTATATATACTATATATATACTGTATATAAACTATATACGCGCAGATACAGACATGAGACTGAGCAGTCATTGGAAACTTTGCTAGTAAAAACCCTCCACAGTGCAGACGGTGCATATTATCATATCTGCACAAATGTTCATTTCAGGACGATACCGATATTTATTTTTATATCCTTTATCGTTAGGTATATCGGAAACGTGTCGATATTACAGTGCGTTACTACGTTCTTTCAGTCATATCTATATAAACATATTATTATTATTATTATTATTATTATTATTATTATTATTATAAGACAACCTATGAAAACAAACTCAGTTCAGCTTTTTTCCAAACTAACTGTGACACCTGTACAATACTTTGTAATTAATTGGTTAAGCACCGTATTAAAGTCAGTAAGCGTCAATAATCCTCAGATAGATTACCTCTATAACTCGGGCAATGTTTGCAGTCCCCACATCCTGTAGAAACTGTTACCCCCCTTCTTCCAACTTTCACTGTTTCATTTTCAGTCTTAGTTTTTATTTGCTCGTGTGCGTTGGTGGAGAAAATAAACTGAGTTTCTGTTTGACCCAATTCTATCGATCCATTTCAGTTTCACTTTGAGTTTGTGGGCATTTCTGTGAATGGTGTGAGGGCAGAACTGATTTACTAGAATTGACTGGAACTTTTTATACAAGTTTATTTATTAGTGTCTTTACAATCACGTGTAGATTAGTGTCAGATTTCACACTCGTACAGTGAGCATCTGTGGCTTTCTGGATTATTTACATCCAGCATCCTCGCCTGAGACAGTGTTAACTCTGGTTACACACATCTCTAAAATATCATCATTGCCCTGATTGCTGTTGTTAGACACTTGTTGCATCCAGTCAGTGCTGTATTAATAACTATGGGTGCAGTATTGTCTCTGTCCACGACATAAAAACATCTTTAGACAATCTGCCCTCCTCTGAAGTTCTAACATGAGACTGAGAGGACAAAAGTCAGATTACAGAGTTTGTGTTGGATTTCAGTTCAGTTTTAACTTCATTTTTGTTACATCCTTTGAGTTGGAAGTGGAAACTCGGCTGTGAGTCTGATCGTACTGGTTGTCCCACTGTCCAGGGTGAACTGTTTGTAGTCTAGTCGGTAATTCTTGTGCAAATATTTGCCCTCTTGTTTCTGCAGCCTTTGAGTTTGGCTTCTTGCTACAGATAAATGAGGAGGCCTCGCTGGCTGTGGCCCTGAATGATTACCTAACCTCACGCAGCTACCTGGCTGGGTTCAGCCCCTCCCAGGCCGACCAGAATGCCTTTAAGCTCCTCCGCAGGCCCCCAGACCCGCAACACGTTCACGCTCTGCGCTGGTACAGACACATAGCAGCCCTGCAGCAGGACCTCAACCCTGACAGCAGCAGTGAGTAGACAGCTGAAGGCATGAACAGGCTAGATCACGGTCCCTGTTATGTACCAGCCCCGGATGCCGAGGCTGTCTGAGGTCCCCCAGGACAGGAAACATCCCCGGTGATCAAACTAAAAGCAGCTCTAACCTGACGTGCATGAACCCCCCACTGTTAGAGCAGCATACTGTCTGTGCTGTCTGAGGCTGAGCACTGAGTTTATCACAGTTTCAAAGAGACACCTACCCAAAGAACACCTCACATTGAAATGGATTTGATATATAGCTGCAACAGTTAGATGTCAACTATTAAATTAGTCACCAACTGTATAGATAATCGATCATTTTGAAGCATTTTTTAAAGGAAGAAATGTCCAAATTCTCAGATTTCCTCAAATGGAAAATGTTTTATTTCTTTTATTTTGTCCTCTATGACAGTAAACTGAACATGTTTGTGTTGTGGAAACTGTTATTACTGACATTTTATGGACCAAGCAACTTAATAAAATGCTCTACAGATTAATTAATAATGAAAATAATTTAGTTTCAGCCCGACTTTGCAGAAACACACATTGTATAATAAATAGTGGACGTAACTTCCAGGTGAAAAGTAAAGCTGCTGCTGTAGTGGCTTAAACCTGCATTTGTTCTAATACTGGCTATACTGGTTGCGAAAAGAAGTCAGATTGTATGTAAGTTTATGAGAAAATGACCCAACTTCATGAGATTATGGTCTCTGGCCTCTTCCATACAGCATGATGCTCATTTAATCAATGATTGTCCAAATTTGGACACTTGTTCTTTAAAAATGACTCAATGATTAATTGATTGATGATTAACTAAAATAGTTGGCAATTTAACAACTAGTTACAGTCTTTACAGTCTTTATTATACAATAAGAACACATAGACGTGCATCATATCTTGCACTGCATGCGTTGCATTTGCAAATAAATTGCTGCCCGCTGGGTGTTTGTGCATGCTGTGTCTGGCTTTGACAGCTGATTTTCTCCTGATTTTAAAGTAGCTTATGTTCATTAACTGAATGTACGTCTGCATTCCTTTATGAACAAGACGATCCTTCTCCTTTGTGGCATTTGATTGAAGGACAAAACAAACGAGCAGGTTCCACTCAGTTGTCCTGTGGACTGCACAACCAACCTCAATTCTCACACTTGGAGCTGAATGTTGTGGCCTGTAGTGTTTTATGCACAATGACATCAATATTTCCTTCAGAGTTTTACATTCAGACTCGATATGCAAGTAAAAAAAAATGAATAACAGCAATATATTTTGATGTTGATTGACATTAGCTGCCTTGGTCTGGATTTTAATTTACGTGCTGTGTCTCTGGCTTAAATTAAGAATTGAGTGTGAGTTCTCTTGTGGGTTTTCCTTTTGTTTGCACACACATGGATTTGGAAAGCATTGAACAGTACAATAAATACTAGAAAGTTGTGGATACTCTCTGATCACAGTCGAGCTGAAACTATTAATTGATTAGTCAAATGGCTGAAAATTATCTGCAACAGTATCAGCTTTTTCAGCTTCTCAATTGTGAACATTTGCAGCTTTTCTTTGTTTTCTATATCAATATATTATATTGAATATCTTTGTGTTTTGGACTGTTGCACTGACAAAAAAAGCTATTTCAACATGCAGCATGTATTAAATTTAAAGCCTCTGTGTAGATTTGTTATGTGAAAGTAACTTTCAGATCAAATTGTCGTTAAGTTTCTGTCTGTGGAAAAATCAGACAGTGACAACTGGTACAAAGTCATAAAATGTTTTAAAATCCGACACATAGTGGCTTTAAATTTTTGCGTAACGTGAGGTGGCAGAAAACATTTTGTCAATTCCTGCATAGAAAATTGTCACTTTAAATAAACGTTGGCCTTTTCTAATGATTGTTGTTTTTTAATTTCAGTGAAGGGAAAGCGGGTTCAGCCCCCGTGGTCTCCACCAGCAGGAACAGATGTTCCCCAACTTCGACTCTACAACAGCCTGACGAGAGCAAAGGTAGGTTAGAGAATATCAAATCTTCGTCAGTGCTTATGTTTCTTTGTGGAACGTGGTCTTCATGTGGCTGTCATACATTGACTGAAGCCACATTTTTACTATCCACTG